GGGGTAGAGATGGGGAGGTAAGGGGGTTGAGATGGGAAGGTAAGGGGGTAGGGGTGGGAAGGTAAGGGGGTTGAGATGGGGAGATAAGGGGGTAGGGATGGGAAGGTAAGGGGGTAGAAATAGGTGGGTAAGGGGTGGGGATGGGAAGGTAAGGGAGGGGGAGCTTCTGGTAAAGGTGTAATAGTTAAATCAATGTGGTTTCAATTCCAGACTTCCTCCACAAAGAAGTTCAGTCTCTGGAACAAGAGGAGAGTCCTACAGAGTCTCTGCTCGAAAGATGGCAGCAGAAGTGTCCCCATAAAGCCACACTGGGCAGGCTGTGTCAGGCACTGGAAAGCATGGAGAGGATGGATCTTTTGGATAAGATCTATAAAATAACCAGTTATAGGGTAAGCATTGGCCTTTACAGACTTTGGCACTCTAGAGGGTGAGGGAGGGACCAGGTAGACATTGTATGTGTTTAGTTAAACGTCAAACTTTAATCTATTACCATTTAAAAAATGGCAAGTAGTTTACAATGCAGTTTTATTATAAACCACTTTGGAAATGTTGATGGAAACAAAATATTTATTGAAAATAAATGTTTTACTATTCTATTACCAAGCATAATGTCTCCGGGCCCAGACAGCAGGTGTCCCAGGACAGCCAGGTCCCAGGACCTTTCTCCCCTGTTGTGGATAACTCAGACTCTCTGTCTTGGACTTCACCAGAAGCTGAGGTGACAGCTGACAGCAGAACGCCAGAAACTGAGGTGACAGCTGACAGCAGGGTGCCAGAAACTGAGGTGACAGCTGACATCAGGGCACCAGAAACTGAGGTGACAGCTGACAGCAGGGTGCCAGAAACTGAGGTGACAGCTGACATCAGGGCACCAGAAACTGAGGTGACAGCTGACAGCAGGGTGCCAGAAACTGAGGTGACAGCTGACAGCAGAGTGCCAGAAACTGAGGTGACAGCTGACAGCAGAGCAGCAGGGAGAGAGCAGGTAATTATATAGTGTCAGGGAAGCTGGGAGAGGGAAGCTTGTTTTTATAGTGGACCTTTTGTGGCTCTGTTGGGAGAGGGGTGAAACTTAACTGTGATCATATCTGTATTGATGGTACAGACATGTTTATATTGATGGTACATATATTATATATTTTATTGATGGTACAGACATGTTTATATTGATGGTACATATATTATATATATTATTGATGGTACAGACATGTTTATGTTGATGGTACAGACATGTTATATTCATGTTATAGATAAGTTGTATTTATTTTTGTGGTACAGACAAGTCACAGGCCTACCCAACTACCAGACTCGGCACATAAGGATCCTGAATTAACCAGTATATCGGACCACACTACCTGTTTTCAAGGTGTGTGTCAGATCGCATTTCAGAGTATCAGTCAGAACACCAACAGGATGAGCCCACGCTCGGCTGTCACCTTGAATGGATAGTAAACAATTGTCGTAAAATCGCTATATAATTTTAAAACCGGGTGCATATATTTGAAAGCCACCTAGATGAACCTTAGACTGCCACATTAATCTAATACAATGCAAAAAAGCCCTATCAAAAGTGGTTAAAACATTCAAACCGAATGTCGTAAAGTCCCCATATACCCCCATAGAGACAATAAAATAGACTACTCTAAAGTAAGAGTACAGTTTAAGGTTGTTCAGTGGATGAGCCAGCAGTATCCTACAAAATTTGTTCTGGGGTATGATACTCTGAAATGCGATCTGACACACACCTTGAAAACAGGTATTGTGGTCCGATATACCGGTTAATTCAGGATCCTTATGTGCCAAGTCTGGTAGTTGGGTAGGCCTGAGTCATATTTGGCTTAACATGATATTGAACAAATTGACACTGTTTTGCAAATACTTTGGTTATGTGATGATTTCCCTATTTTCATTTTGAGGTTTCCATTCGTATAAGCAAGAAAGGGAGATGTTCTACATTTCACAGCTTATTTTAGAAAGTTGTTTCACTTGATCTAATGATTATTACATAAACATATATTTGTACATATTTCAGGTGCCAAGAACAGATAACCAGACAAGGGAAGAGATCTTACATCAGCAACCAATAGGTGGCAGCTCTGGTCCAGAATCAAAGGTTCCGTCATCCTCAAACACTGTCCCAGGGGGTGAGCCACAATTGGCTCTCTTGGCAGAGGAAAATACAGACCATATAAATGATGAAAAGTGTCCAACAACTACTTTAGGAGAGGACTTAAAGCCTTCACTTCAGCCAGTAAAGGAAGTAAATCCTGGTCACATACATAGAAAACAACCACAACCCACTGAATATGATCAGGATAGTGCCTGCAAGCCTCCTCAAATGACAGTAGAAGCAGTGAATGGAGGTCAGATACACAAAGAACAGCCACCACCTGTGCAGCAGGACCAGGAGAGCGAATCAAAACCTCCTCCAGTGGCAGCAGAAGAAGTGAATGGACATACTGTGGCACAAACAGACCTCATAGAAAATGAGGCAGACTCATCAAAAGATCTACCTTTTTCCACACAAGAAGAAGGCAAACTTCCCTCCATGTCCAGCATGCAGAAACCATTGCCTTTGTCCCAGGAGGAGGGAGACAATCAGCCTTCAGGGCCCTCTAGTATGCATAAACCATTGCCTTTGTCCCAGGAGGAGGAAGACAATCAGCCTTCAGGGCCCCCTAGTGGCAGTTTGCAGAAACCATTGCTTTTGTCCAAAGAGGAGGAAAATGTTCAGCCTTCAGTGCCCCCTAGTGTCAGCCAACAGAACAACCTCAGTCCTCCCAGTGTGGTTGGTACTGGATACACCCACCTAAACATAACACAGGCTGACGGAGAGAATAGTTACATTTCTAGTGGCTCTGAAGTTAACATGCTAAAGAACAGGTCTGGATTCCAGGGGTTGACCCTTGATAACAATATAACTGGGAGATCTGGGGAGCACTCAGCAGGTGGTGGCACAGACAGCTCTCTGCAGCATGCCTTGAAACTCAAGAGTCCAGATGCTAGTTTGGTTGGTCGTCTTGAAGAAAGTGAAGAGGATGCAGTATTATCAAGAGGTGTGGCTGATGGTGCATCATGTCCATCAGAACACCGTATAACATTGCTGAAACACCCAGAGGACCAGGAAGAGAGCAGTGTTGTTCACAAGGTACTGTTCAGGTCTCCATCAGATGATTCCCCTGCTGTATCGCATCAGGCCAGCTCCTTAGATGGTGACAAGTTGACCCTCCCAGCACAGGCTCCTGTCACTCTGTCCCCTGTGCCAGAACACCCCACCAGTCCTTCCTACAAGTCCAAGTGTCCAGAACCTCTGACCCTGGTGGACGATGACACAGCCGAGGACAGACAGAGAGTTGACCGTAGTCAGATAGCTGACAGACCTCAGTCTGGAAGTCCAGCTCAGGGTCATGTGACAGATGGAAGTCCAGGACTGAGGATGCGCAGGAATTCTCTGCGAGGTGGCATATTGCCTGAACTCCCCAAGCTGGACATCACTCCAAGACAGCCCCAGGAATTTGTCTGGGACAGACCTGCTGCCAACCAGGCACAGGAACCTCAAGACAGGGCTGGCTTGAATAGGCTGACAGTGGCGGCACCTTTTGTAGTGTTTGGTCTCTTAGCAACCATAGGACTTTACAAGAATTTAAGGTGACAGTGAATATAGTGATGAATTTTCCTGGGTGTGTAAGCGGTCACTTTGAAGGTTCTGGTATAATACATGCATGTATCTCAAAACCATTACACACACACACACACACACACACACACACACACACACAAAGGTAAAAGGGCATGCTTAGCTCTAATGTCTGAAGTAATTTTTTTTTTTTTTTCAATGTTCTTTAGGTGAGCAAAATATTTTCAAACATTCTTGAAAAGAATTATCTTGACATTGATGATTCAAGTTTTAGCCACAACTTGTGGAATAAGATAGATACAGAGAGTTGACACAGAACGCAAGTGTAGGCCTCTGTATATTTTATGTTTTTGTGATAAGATCAAAATGTCTGTACTTCTGTTAACTATATGAACCAAGTTCACAATGCATTCTGTGATTACTGCTTTTGTCAAAGTTTGAAATGTAAATTTTAATGAATTAAATCAATTAACTGTTGAAATGATTTTGGTAATTCTTAAATGTTTTATAATATTTGCCATACATTTAACAGACTCTACACTTTCCAGTAGAAATCATCTAAGATAAGTAGACGTCTTGCAAGATTTTGCAGGGTATGAGGAAGAGTGGGGACTGTGGGGTCATAATAAATGGCAGATTAGTAAAATACAAAGTGGCAATGAATAAAGTTGACCGAATTTACACAGTCATTTTTCTGGTCATTTTTTGCTTCTGACAAATAACAGTCTATTGCTTAATGGTAAGAAATGGCTGTTTTGGTGTCAATTTTGTATTTCTAAGAAGACATTTGCAAACCAAGAATTCTCCCCTTATAAATACAAAGTAAATCCCAACCACAGGTGGATTCTTGCAGTTTCTAGTCTCACACAATTCCTATTGACATACAGATGCCTGTTATACCATAGCACGCAGAACTTTTATAATCCCTGCCAAGACCTGTTGTTGTGCAGTAAAAACACCGACTTTGCATAACAGGTGTTAATGGAGGGGGGTGTGCTTTAATGACATAATTTTTAATTTATTAAGCTTCTTCAGAATTGGAAGACGAGGAATCCATTTTCAAACAATTGCAATATGTTGTTGAATTTAATTTCACATATTATTCACAGAACATATAAAACAGACACGGCCGACATGATATAAATAATGGTTATATTTACAATTGAGGGTATTACATAGAAATACAGTGAATGTTATCTGGAAATACAGTATTATACTGCTGCACTATACAAATATCTGCCCTCACACATGCTAACATAAGTGAACAATGATATCTGTCCTCACACATGCTAACATAGTGAACAATGATATCTGTCCTCACACATGCTAACATAGTGAACAATGATATCTGTCCTCACACATGCTAACATAGTGAACAATGATATCTGTCCTCACACATGCTAACATAGTGAACAATGATATCTGTCCTCACACATGCTAACATAGTGAACAATGATATCTGTCCTCACACATGCTAACATAGTGAACAATGATATCTGTCCTCACACATGCTAACATAGTGAACAATGATATCTGTCCTCACACATGCTAACATAGTGAACAATGATATCTGTCCTCACACATGCTAACATAGTGAACAATGATATCTGTCCTCACACATGCTAACATAGTGAACAATGATATCTGTCCTCACACATGCTAACATAGTGAACAATGATATCTGTCCTCACACATGCTAACATAGTGAACAATGATATCTGTCCTCACACATGCTAACATAGTGAACAATGATATCTGTCCTCACACATGCTAACATAGTGAACAATGATATCTGTCCTCACACATGCTAACATAGTGAACAATGATATCTGTCCTCACACATGCTAACATAGTGAACAATGATATCTGTCCTCACACATGCTAACATAGTGAACAATGATATCTGTCCTCACACATGCTAACATAGTGAACAATGATATCTGTCCTCACACATGCTAACATAGTGAACAATGATATCTGTCCTCACACATGCTAACATAGTGAACAATGATATCTGTCCTCACACATGCTAACATAGTGAACAATGATATCTGTCCTCACACATGCTAACATAGTGAACAATGATATCTGTCCTCACACATGCTAACATAGTGAACAATGATATCTGTCCTCACACATGCTAACATGGTGAACAGGGATATCTTTTCCTGGAATGCTCACAATGACAACTGTCCAGGACACATTGACCATAGTTAGAAAATGACTAGATAAAATCTTCCTCCATGTACATGTAAATCACATAAAAAAGCTCTTATAAAACTTAATTCTTAAAAAAATGTTGGAAGAACATACGAAAGGCAGCCTTAAAAGTAAACAATTCATGACCACAATGAAACAAATCTGAATCAATGAAAAAGGCTACAGTATACCCAAAACTGAGGGTATGTTAAAATGTATTCTTAAACTAGGTATACATTTCTGCTTAAAAAGATTTCAAGCAAATAACCACTTTGTGTTTATGAAAATCACATTTCCTTTGTTCTGCAGGTCAGAGTGAAAAAGTACAATACTAGATCTCTGTACACACTCAATGCCTTGATTACCAATTGTTGTCGAGTCCATGCTCCATTGGCACAAAATACTTTGTTTATACTTGAAAACCTCCATCAATAAAATAAAAACAGTCTAAAAGCACAAAAAACAAAAAGGTATGATGGAAGAAGACTGAATCTGAAATCAAAGAACAATTTAACTTTTTCTCAGACACATACAATGCCCTAGTACATTTCACTCTAAACGGCAACAATTAATAAGAAAACACTGCAAACTTGACATGAATTGATTTGGCATACTTCTGCCACATGGCTTGTACTTTCTACTTCAGAATGAGATTCTGTCTTTGTTGCAGAGCATTGTGGGATACCTGGCCTCCATTTTAGCACCAAAACTGATCCACGTCCTTCATGGTCAGTGCACCCATCATATGTCACAGGCCAGGGCCATGTATTTTATACATTGTTTGTAGAGCTCAGAACAGGGAAGCCCTTGCTAGGCTGTGTTAACCATGTTCATATGAAGTTTGTCTTTGAGCCAGAACAGGGAAGCCCTTGCTAGGCTTTGTTAACAACAGGAAGTTAATGTCTACAATTCAGAACTGTCCCTGCTGTCGCTGGTACTACTGGTCCTACTGGAGTGCCTGGACCGTCCATAGCATGGCTGGACATGTTGGTCATCCTCACTGGTCAACCGCCGTAACATGAGGGTCAGTGGGGAGAATTCTGGGTGGTCATCTTGGGCTGTGACAGAGGATGTGTGGGTCTTCTTCACAGAGGCTGGAAGTACAGCAAGATGACATTGGTTTGCTGGTTGTACAGTATTCAGTCTTGTATTTAAACAACACAGAATCATAATGTATAGNTTTTTTTTTTTTTTTTTGTGGAACCAATTTGCCAGTATAAACTGTTATAATTGCCATTTTCTGAACAGAAATAAAGAGAGAGAATACAGCAATGACCAATAATTTTAAGAACCAAATATATATCTATTACAATACAAACCATCCTTCTACTAAATATTGTACACTAACTGTAAAAAGATTATCTACATCATGACTTGCACATAACATCTGTGTTTGTATGTATATAATAGTGTTTATTAAAGTCCAAGCCTTCTTTTAAAATCAAACTGATAACCAATAGTTATTATTATTATCAAATGCATACAATGCTTATTAGATCATTATGAAGCAAAGAAAAAAAATTCCTGGAAATTTTGTCTTTACTTCATAGGTAATTTGCCTAGCCAAAACTGCTGAGAAAATAATGATCTACTTTTTTTTTTTTTTTTTACATTTCAGATTTGTTATTTTTACTCAGTTTCTATCTCCATTATACGAGAGTGACTCAAAAACTACAAACTCAAACATGGAATTATCATCGAAATTCTGTGAATGGTTTTTGGATACTTGACGTTTACAGAAAAATGTTGAAATTTTCGTGAATATAAAAAATATGGTACGTATATAAAGGTCAACTGTCATTACCTGGGGCAACTTCACCATTTTGTCCCTGTGTTTCTGTCTTATATATCTGGACATGATAACATTGTAAGGATTGCCTTTCTGGGTGTGATGGCATTCATCAAAGATCAGCAAGGAGAACACGTCCAGAGAAGAGATGGTGTTTTCTAGCAAGTGGTTTTCCAAGATCTGCGGGGTCAACACAATGATGTCAAACTCAGAAATCAGCTGGTGCAGAAATTTATTTGACTCATCATCTCCACACACTTTCAGTACCTGGTAATAAAGGAATTGAGAGGAAACATCAAAATTAATTGTGTACATATATTATGTTGATCAATATCTAAAGTACACTCTATTTAAAACATGTTTCTGACATATCTGAACAATGTGTATCATACAGTGGCAATTAAGACGCTTTTTCCCCGCTTTCATAGTTCTTTCATTTAATTAGGTCTCACTCCAAATCTAGCATAATGTTGCCCAAAACACATCTCTCCTGCAAATTTCAAAAGAACCATACAGATGGGTTGGAATTTATCAGCATTATTATCACAAGTTTATTAATAAACTATATATGTCTATAAAACAGATTAAAAAAGGTGAAAGAGAAACTCATCCTGAGCTTCAGAGAACATACCCTCAATTCATATTTTTCAAATAATTGACAGAATAGTTGGTACTGCTGTTGAACCAGTGGAACTTTACAAGCCATAAACACCACTTTTCTATCAGCTCCTGTAAAATATTGTTATAAAATAGAATTAGGATATAATACAAAACTGTAAATATATTTTGACATACAAATTCTGGCAACTTACTTACACGAAAGTGCAGGTTACATAAACTACTTTCTAAAGTATTAGATAAAAAATATTGAGATTTCTTGGAGTGCAAGGAAAAAAAAAACAAGAAAAAAAAACATTCACCTTGTTTCAAGTGTTCTGCCACAATGTGTGCTGCTACCCTAGTTTTACCACTTCCTGTGGGGGCCACAATGATACAATTCTGCCCTCTCAGGGCAGGCTCTGCTAGCTCATGCTGATAATTACGCAGACTAAGTTCATCTATAAATCCATGAAAGACAGGAGAAGTAAATTCAAAAGGTGAACATCCAGAAAATTGCACTCATAAGTAATATTTATCAATTTGTTTTTATGGTTATTGAAAATATATATAACTGTATTTAACTAATAAATATATATAACTGTAAATGGGGCCGTAGCAATAGTCTTAAGGTTCAATAGTCCAAAGGTTCATTGGTCCAAATATTCACTATAGAACCTTGGGACCAATGAACACTTGATTTAAAAAAACAATGAAAATGTTACCACTTTTCAGACTAATGAACCTTTGGACTATGGAGAAGCCCCCACTGTAAATAAATATAACTGCATACATGTATTTCTACTGTTAAAAAAGATGAAAATATTACCTAGAAAAGCACTACGAGACCACAGTCCTTCATCAGGGCAGCTCAATTTTAATTAATTAATTAATGGATCACCACCAAAATCATATAAACTTTAAGCATACCCACTTCCTGGCTGATGATTGACACTGTACAGGACACACATGGACAAGACACACATGGACAAGACACACATGGACAAGACACATACTGCTGATGATTGACACTGTACAGGACACACATGGACAAGGCACACACTGCTGATGATTGACACTGTACAGGACACACATGGACAAGACACACATGGACAAGACACACATGGACAAGACACATACTGCTGATGATTGACACTGTACAGGGCACACATGGACAAGACACATGCTGCTGGTTTTTTATTTTTGCACAGACAATCTTCATTATTTCTTACCTGTTATGTTCAAATCACTCAACTTGAGAGACACTTGTTCAACTTCTGCACCTAAAGCAAATTAATTATATTAATCAACCAACCAATCTAACAGTTAATATTTAGTTAACTTTAATTAACTCTTAAAAGATAATAAGAAAACAATTATTTATCACTGTTGTCAATGTTGACAGCTTGCCATAACATTCAGTTTCAGTGTTAATCAAGAATGGCTGCATGTAAATCAGCTGCCATATCAGATGACTTTGTCCCAGCTAGATAGTCAAACTTACCTGTGATATTTCTGCCTTCATCAGCACTGCCGTATTTCCTGCATTTAGGAGGCACAGCATCAATAGTGTCCCCAGCAATCTCCTTGGTGACTGTCCTCTTCTGGCTGGTCTGGTACTGCTTCCAATCTAGATTGAAATATTTCAATAAAATTCTCATTGAATTATGATGTTAAATTATATCTTCTGATAAGAATCACCCACGCACCCTGCAAAAAATAAAATTTAAGCCAGCAAAAAAGAACAAACCTTATTCACAATATTTCTTGAGATCTAGGTTATTAAGATCTTGGTCTAGTTGTCTGCAACTGCTCTAGACTGTGTACTGACCATCATACATGTACATGTACTATTATCATGTTTAAAACAATAATAAAACACATATACCTGGATTGAAATCTGGATCTATCAGCTGCACCAGTTCTTTATCTTTTTGATTTCCACTGTCCCAGAGAGAATACAGGAAGTCAGTGTACCAGGTATTCTTGAGAGTGGGCAAGTGTCTGAGTAGCATCAAGCTGCCATAAAACCTGCCTTTGTTCCGTGTCTCTGCTCTGATCCTGTCTACAGTGCTGTTTGACAACACACCTCTCTGGATCAGATGTGGAAGTAACTGGATTGGTTCCAGGTACTCTATGATATGAGGTCTAAATACACGTAAATGCTTCTCATGCAAGTCCTCAAAGCGCACAGAGTTAAGATCATATTTCATCCCATTTACATGCTGGGAAAAATCACTCAGTGCTTTAAAGTCTTCTAATATTCCTAGTGCGGTTTCACTACCTGAAAGTAATAACATCACATAATTTTCAGTTTTAAATGTTTAAAAACTTTAGGTATTTTCTTAATATGATTATTTAAAATATAATAATACGAATATATTCCAAATATGAAAGTAAAATTTAGCAAAATTACCAGTACTTGTCAGTGAAGATGGAGAGGATATTTGCCACATATCATGTATTTGCACAATTACTAATCAATACTTCCATGAAATTCTTTTTCGTCACTTCCATTTAATTTTGTCAAACAAAATGTTCTTTACCAGTTTCCCTCAGTCCATTAACAAACACTGTGAACCAGCCAGGATCCGTACTTTCTAAAACAAAACTCAGCAAGAGCTCTGCTCCTTTACGTGGTCCTTTCTCATCTGTAGCAGCTTTTATTTTATCTTCTTCAGCTAAAACAGATTCACAGATTAGTACATCAGTTTCTGTTTTGTTTAATTTTTAGTATGATATAAACCTCTAGTGAGAAAAAAATCAGGCTGTAAAATTTAAAATTTAATGGCTGATTAACTTTTCTCTTCATATTTGAAGATCTTTAAGACCCCAGAGTTACTTTTACATAGAGCCCCTCTTAAATACCACTTCAAATAAAATATACCTTAATTGCATGGAATCATATATACAGAAAGTGTGGGAAGTAGGTGAATACTTTCTTCTTAAATGTGTTCATGTGCAATAATTTCTACCCATGTTTTATAAACAAGCATATATATGTGAATGAAAATTTATCAAACACAAGCCAAAATATTAAGCTTACGTCCAACCTGGGTGTGTAAAGGCCTTCATTAGACTGATGTGAGTAGATGGCCGTAATATATCAGCTTGTGTTTGATAATTTCCACTTATGATCCAACTATACCAAGCCAATAAACATTTTTGCTCATTTAAGAGCATTTCTCTTTCATGCACCTCTTTTCCAGTGAGATTTTTGGATTTCGTATGCAAGGGTCATATATATCTCTTTAAGTCCCCTGCATCATTACTCCTCAACATTTTCACTTTCCTAAATCCATATAAAATACTCCCAGCAAAATTTATATATGTGCACACATCAGTACACTCCCACACTGTAACTTCCCCAATCAATGCTCCTCCCCTATCCCTTCAGCATGCTTGTATGTACCTGTATTAACAGTAAGGATTTTTAATTACATGTACAATCATAATTACTTGGGCTGCAGTTAACCGTCACTAGACTTTGAAGGCACTCTATCCATATTTTTTAGTGTCTGTGTTGTGTTATATAGTACATGTTCATGTTAACAACACCAAGAACAGACATACATATAATAATAATAATAATAATAATAATAATAATAATAATAATAATAATAATAATAATAATAATAATAACAAAACGAAAGCAGAATATTTACCTTTACCGATGATATCAGACAGATGAACACAGAGTTCAACTGGTTGTATTTTGTCGATGAAAACTGTTGAGCATACAGTTAATATTTCCCTCTGCAGTTGAAACTTGTCGATATGCGAGTCGCCTTGACCAACTTCATCGCATTCTTCTCTTGGCTGACTATTATCCATAGTCCAACAATTGATCGGGAAACAAGACAACTCCTTACTTATAATTATTTCAACTAGAATTTATAGTATTACATGTACCCGATCGTTTACTAAAGTGAAAGCTAGTTCAATCGCGAATGGAATTTATATCTACCAATGTAGAAAAAATTATGGCAAATTCCCACAGCATCTCACGTCTCGTAACGATTGAAAAAATACCTGAAAAAAATACTAAATCGAACTTTCCTTTCCAAATACGTCTCCGAAATTTTCCAGAGGGAATCCCCCTAATTTCCCGACTAACACGAGTATTTCCCGGCAGGTCTTAACACATTGATAAGTTATTTCTTTTATGTCATTTAACTTTAAAAAAACTCGTTCATGTGTAATATAATAAAGAAAATATAAAAATCAATTTTACTTTAAAAAATTTAGAACCATAAATATTTTAGTATTATTTTATAGATGAATGCTAATAATAATCGTAATGAATTGAGAGCTACATCGTGGTGACGTAAATTCAACAGCCATTTTGGTATCTGGAATCGAAAGCAGGTGGGTTATTTTCCTGTTATGTTATCGGATATTTTCTGTTACTTAACGGGAGTTAGTTACGATTTTAGTCATCACAAGAAGTAGATGGACTAAAAATGACGATTGGAAGAAGATATTGTCAACCCGGTTTTACTATCCGGTAAATTATCTATTCATATAATAGAATAACTACTTGATATAATATTGTCATATTTTAAAATTAAGTTATCCAAGCACATGTATAAGTGTTACTGTAAGCAGTAAAAGAACAACTAGCTAGTGCTCTGTTGTAGAATATGCATGCTTGTATTTTTATATTTTAAGCTGGAAAATGCCGGATCAGTATATGAATATATGAATATCTATAGCTTAATTTGGTCTTGCTTAGTCACGTCATTGTTCGTTGAGTTTTTATTGAAAAATAAAAAAAATTAACAATTTTTTTTTCTTTTTCAATAAAAAGAAAAAGAAAAAAATTAACAATTTTTAATGCCGTGCTGTATTTGAAGGTAGGCCAGTTTTTTTTTTTTTTTCAAACTAACACCTTCAAAACCAAAAACATTTTTTTACTTATAAATGTGTCATACAAGTACAACAAATTTCAAGGATTTTTATTGGAAAAGTAGCAGACCACCATATAGTAATAAGCAATTATCTTTCAATGGAAAATTGGTGAAACCAGAACCTTGGGTCAAACTCTTTGGGGTTTACTTTGACCCATATGGGCGGCCAAAAGGGCAAAAATTCAAGTCGTCGATTCAGTCATGTTTCGACGATTCACTGCCTTCCCATCGATTCAGTTTCAAGTTTAAACGAGCCTACAATAAATTCAGCATATATTTTCGTTTATTCAATTGTCAAACATTTCTCGTCTACGGTGTATTAAAACCAATGCTCTCACTATTTTCGTCGATCGTTTAACTATTCTCATTGATCGTCTAACTGTTCTCGTCGATCCTGTAATGTCTCTTCATCATTCATTGTTCGATCACCGGAGGGCTCTGCAGTAGCACATTGGCCTATCACATGACTATCAAAATGGCAGACAACAAGATGATTGTCGATTATATCATTATATAGAATGCAGTTTGTTAGTGAAATAAGAAAAAAATCTCAACAATTTCTATTCTAATTATTAATAATTAAAATCTATTCGGTACGTTGTAGGGACATTATTTTCTAGTTGTTTTCAACTCTGACCATGGCTGGCCGAGTTAAAAATTACCACGTGATTGACAGACGGAAGCATGTGTTGCTACTGTCTAGCATTTTTATATTAATCATAGAACGATTTTTCATTTACTATCTTAATTAGTAGACTTCATGTGTATTTGTATTTTTTGTAGAAAGATTTTCCATTTACTATCTTACTAGACCTCAAATAAATATTGTATTATTTGTAGAAATGTTTGTCCTAACCCAGTCGATGAAGAGCTGCAAAGCTAATGTTTCCTTTCAGTTTATACCCGACATTAAATAAAATTTATTGTATTGTATTGTGTTGTATTTCTATTTTCACAGAATGGATGTCATATATAAGAAAATAATCCAGGATAACTATGTAGAACTAATGAAAAAAATAGAACCTGTGCAACTGATGCCACACCTCTCATGTCTGACAGATATGGACAGGGTAAATAAAAAGACTTGATAGAGATCACATGATTCTTAGAGAGCATTCACATCGAGAAGAGCCGAGGTATAGCAAGGCCGAGACCTAAATATGACGGACCTACATGAAAGAAAGAGCGTGTAATCCTTTAATGGTCTTTCAATGAATGTCAATGAATGTCATTGAGAGACCATTAAAGGATTACGTGGTCTTTCATGTAGGTCCACGATATTTAGATCTCGGCCTTGCTATACCTCAGCTCTTCTCGATGTGAATGCTCTTTTAGACCCCCCTGGACCCTCCCCCACCACCACCACACTCACTCACCCAAATGCATTTCTTGGGAGAGCATGTTGGTAAAATAATATTCTTTACAAGGGGATTGTGTGTATGTGTATGTGTTTGGGGGGGGGGGGGGGGGATATATACCCATACCCATATATACCCATATAGAGATTGTAAGTTCTAATAAAAATAAAGTAAGTACTCAGAGTTTGTCATAAGTTATCAGTATTATTATATATAAAACAAATTTGGACATGCTTTGAGCTGTGGTGACATGAACAAATTTTAGAACTGACATTATTTCTAAGAATTTGTATGGTATTTGATACTCCTATGTAATAAACAGTGCCAGATGAGGATTGTAATGGATTTTTAAAATGTTCGCCAGAGATGAAAGAGAGTGTTAACAGTTTTAACTTTATTAACTTAAGTTTTTTACTTCATTAACTTTATTAAAAACTTTATTAAACCTTATTGGTAAAATATAATATACTTCCAGGAGAATATTACATCAGAGTTGAGGTATAATGGAGGCAGGTCCAGTGGGGCAGTGATGTTACTAGACAAGTTACCAAGAAGAGACCAGTGGTTCCCACAGTTCATTTCAGCTCTAAGAGAAACAGGCCAGTTAGAGCTGGCCAGAAAACTTGACCCCCAGGAGACAAACGGCACTGATGACAATGAGAGAGGTCAGGGTGACCCCTGCTGCTGCTGGCTTGTGACTGTCTCCACCATTTTGATTAGAATCTTTGGGACCATTCCCAGACCATATCGTACTAACTTTGGATCGATCTATCTCCTAGAGGGTTCTTGCTAAATTGCAATCAACTTAAGCAGCTTAGATGTCTGTTACGCCCACTGAAGCTGAAAGGGGATAATTAACTATCATTTAGCAGCTCTAGAAGGCATGTCAGACATGTAAGCCGCTTAAGCTGAAAGCGAGAAAGCCCTTGGAGATGGACCGATCCTGTTAGATCGATCTAGGTATGGGAACCCAGTCTTTGATGAGTCTGTTAATTATGTTGGTGAAGACTTATGGTAATTATATAAATCAGATTGATAAAAAGTTCAGGCATGCTAACCATGGAAGAATTAAGCAATCTAATACGCCCCTGGGGGGATTCCAATGAATTACGTTATTTCTCTCCTGTATAATGTTTTTCAAATTGTCCTGTTGTTGGTACACTGTTTCTTTTAATTCAGGTGAACGGTATATTAGAAAGAAAACATTCAAGGAGAGTAAAGCCACCAAAAGAGCCCAGAACACCAGTCCAGATGGGAAGACATTGCTGAGGGAGCTGCCGTATAAGGTCACCACCACTGTGGCTAGGTACCTGGACATCACGAATAGACAACATGGAAGGGACTGGAAGGGGCTGGCAGCAGAACTAGGTCTGATAAAGGGATGATATATTTATTTAAGGGTTTTTAAGGGATTTGATCATAAAACATTAATATCTGTCTGGGAGTGGCTGAAGAAAGGGGTAGAGATGGGTAGAGGGTAGGGGTGGGAAGGTAAGAGAGTAGGGGTGGGAAGGTAAGGGGGTAGGGGTGGGAAGGTAAGGGGGTAGGGATAGGAGGGAAAGGGGGTAGAGATGGAAAGGTAAGAGGATAGGGATGAGAAAGTGAGGGAGGGGGGCTACTGGTAAAGGTTACTTAAGACTGCTGCAGTGTAGAAAAAGATAAATTCCAGCATTGATTTATCATCCTGAAGTAGATTACAAAGCAGCCATAGATGGTAGATAACTTAAATCATTTCTGAAATATATGCCAAATGAAACACTGGTGATAGCCTTACCTAATGTGTGTAAATGTCTGCCATATCCTGCTGGTGTACTAGTTACAATCAACATGGTTTGAATTCCAGACTTCTTCCACAGTGAAGTTCAGTCTCTGGAACAAGAGGAGAGTCCTACAGAGTCTCTGCTTCAAAGATGGCAGCAGAAGTGTCCCCATGAAGCCACAATGGGCAGGCTGTGTCAGGCACTGGAAAGCATGGAGAGGATGGATCTTTTGGATGAGATCTATAAAATAACCAGTTATAGGGTAAGCATTATCCTCTACAGACTCTGGAGGGCGAGGGAGGGAGCAGGTAGACATTGTGTTATATGTGTCATATGTGTTTAGTTAAACATCAAACTGTAATCCATCACCATTTAAAAAAATGGCAAGTAGTTTTATCATAAACCATATGAACACTTTCTCTTGCCTGTGAATTCTGGAAATGTTGACAAACACAAAATATTTATTTAAAATACATGTTTTACTGTTCTATTACCAAGCATAATGTCTCTGGGCCCAGACAGCAGGTGTCCCAGGAGAGCCAGGTCCCAGGACCTTTCTCCCCTGTTGTGGATAACTCAGGCTCTCTGTCTTGGACTTCACCAGAAGCTGAGGTGACAGTTTACAGCAGAGTGCCAGAAACTAAGGTGACAGCTCACAGCAGAGGGCCTGAAACTGAGGTGACAGCTGACAGCAGAACGCCAGAAACTGAGGTGACAGCTGACAGAAGAGGGCCTGAAACTGAGGTGACAGCTGACAGTAGAATGCCAGAAACTGAGGTGACAGCTGACAGCAGAGGGCCTGAAACTGAGGTGACAGCTGACATCAGGGCACCAGAAACTGAGGTGACAGCTGACATCAGGGCACCAAAAACTGAGGTGACATCTGACAGCAGGGCAGCAGGGAGAGAGCAGGTAATTATATAGTGTCAGGGAAGCTGGGAGAGGGAAGCTTGTTTTTATAGTGGACCTTGTGTGGCTCTGTTGGGAGATGGATGAAACTTTTAAGTTAAAACTATAAACATGCTTATATTGATGGTACAGATATGTTTATATTGATGGTAAGGTCATGTTAATACCCATGGTACAGATAAGTCTTTTTTTTTTTTTTTTGATCTTACATCAGCAACCAATAGGCGACAGCTCTGATCCAGAAGCAAAGGTTCCGTCATCCTCAAACACTGTCCCAGGGGGTGAGCCACAATTGACCCTCTTAGCAGAGGAAAGAACAGACCATATAGTTGATGAAAAGTGTCCATCAACTACTTTAGGAGAGGACTCAAAGCCTTCACTTCAGCCAGTAAATGAAGTAAATCCTGGTCACATACATAGAAAACAACCACAACCCACTGAATATGAGCAGGATAGTGCCTGCAAGCCTCCTCAAATGACAGTAGAAGCAGTGAATGGAGGTCACATACACAAAGAACAGCCACCACCTGTGCAGCAGGCCCAGGAGAGTGAATCAAAACCTCCCCCAGTGGCAGCAGAAGAAGTGAATGGACATACTGTGGCACAAACAGACCCAATAGAAAATGGTCCTATGAATGCAATGAATGACTCGTCAAAAGATCTCCCTTTTTCCACGCAAGAAGAAGGCAAACTTCCCTCCATGTCCAGCATGCAGAAACCATTACCTTTGTCCCAGGAGGAGGGAGACAATCAGCCTTCAGGGCCCTCTAGTGGCAGTATGCATAAACCATTGCCTTTGTCCCAGGAGGAGGAAGACAATCAGCCTTCAGTGCCCCCTAGTGGCAGTTTGCAGAAACCATTGCTTTTGTCCAAAGAGGAGGAAAATGTTCAGCCTTCAGTGCCCCCTAGTGTCAGCCAACAGAACAACCTCAGTCCTCCCAGTGTGGTTGGTACTGGATACACCCACCTAAACATAACACAGGCTGAGGGAGAGAATAGTTACATTTCTAGTGGCTCTGAAGTTAACTTGCTAAAGAACAGGTCTGGATTCCAGGGGTTGACCCTTGATAACAACATAACTGGGAGATCTGGAGAGCACTCAGCAGGTGGTGGCACAGACAGCTCTCTGCAGCATGCCTTGAAACTCAAGAGTCCAGATGCTAGTTTGGTTGGTCGTCTTGAAGAAAGTGAAGAGTATGCAGCATTATCAAGAGGTGTGGCTGATGGTGCATCATGTCCATCAGAACACCGTATAACATTGCTGAAACACCCAGAGGACCAGGAAGAGAGCAGTGTTGTTCCCAAGGTACTGTTCAGGCCCCCCTCAGATGATTCCCCTGCTGTATCACATCAGGCCAGCTCCTTGGAGGGTGACAAGTTGACCCTCCCAGTGCAGGCTCCTGTCACTCTGTCCCCTGTGCCAGAACACCCCACCAGTCCTTCCTACAAGTCCAAGTGTCCAGAACCTCTGACCCTGGTGGACGATGACACAGCCGAGGACAGACAGAGAGTTGACCGTAGTCAGATATCTGACAGACCTCAATCTGGAAGTCCAGCTCAGGGTCATGTGACAGATGGAAGTCCAGGACTGAGGATGCGCAGGAATTCTCTGCGAGGTGGCATATTGCCTGAACTCCCCAAGCTGGACATCACTCCAAGACAGCCCCAGGAATTTGTCTGGGACAGACCTGCTGCAAACCAGGCACAGGAACCTCAAGACAGGGCCGGCTTGAATAGGCTGACAGTGGCGGCACCTTTTGTAGTGTTTGGTCTCTTAGCAACCATAGGACTTTACAAGAATTTAAGGTGACAGTGAATATAGTGATGAATTTTCTTGGGTGTGTAAGCGGTCACTTTGAAGGTTCTGGTATAATACATATTACATGTTTCTCAAAACCATTACACACACACACACATAAAGGTAAAAGGGCATGCTTAGCTCTAATGCCTGAAGTAATTTTTTTGTCAATGTACTTTAGGTGAGCAAAACATTTTCAAACATTCTTGAAAAGAATTATCTTGACATTGATGATTCAAGTTCTTGCCACAACTTGTGGAATATAAGATACATACAGAGAGTTGACACAGAACAAAAGTGGAGGCCTCTGTATAATTGTTTTTGTGATTAGATCAAAATGTCTGTACTTATATTAACTATATGAACCAAGTTCACAATGCATTCTGTGATCATTGCTTTTGTCAAAGTTTGAATTGTAATATTCAATGAATTAAACCAATTAACTGTTGAAATGAAATTGGTAATACTTAAATGTTTCATAGTATTTGCCATACACTTAACAGACTACATTTTCCAGGAGAAATCATCTGAGATAAGTAAACATCTTGCAAGATTTTGCAAGGTATGAGGGTCAGTGGGGTCGTAAAGAATGGCAGATTAGTAAAATACAAAGTGGCAATGAATAAAGTTGACAGAATTAACCCACAGTCATTTTTCTGGTCATTTTTTGCTTCTGTCAAATAACAGTCTATTGCTTAATGGTATGAAATGGCTATGTTTTGGTGTCAATTTTGTATTTCTAAGAAGACATTTGCAAACCATTATTAATTTTTTACCTTATTACTATGAAGTCAATCCCACCACAGATGGACCCTTGCAGTTTCTAGTCTCACACAATTCCCATTGACATACAGATGCCTGTTATATCAGGGGTGGATTTGGCGGTCTTCTGGGTCTTCCGGAAGATGGTCAGATTTTCAAGTTTACATTGATGTATCTAATTTTTTCTGCTGGAAGATGATCAAAATTGGAGGATGAATCAACAAAGATAATTTGGAAGACTGTCAGTAAATAGCTCTGGATCCACCCCTGTATACCACAGCAGCTCTAATCCCACTGTCATGCAGTACTTTTATAATCCCTGCCAAGACCAGTTGCTGTGCAGTAAAAACTTTGTACAGTGCAATTGAAAGGAGTTAGTGGAGGGGTGTGTGCATAGGTGAGAGAATTTTGGGAAATTAAATTTATTAAGCTTGTTCAGAATTGGAACAGGAGGGGTCCATTTTCAAACATTTTCAATGTTGTTGAATTTAATTTCACTGCACACATTCACAGAATATAAAAAAAAACAAACACAGCTGGCATGATATAAATAATGGTTATATTTACAATTGAGGGTATTACATAGAAATACAGTGAATGTTATCAGGAAATACAGTATTATACTGCTGCACTATATAAATATCTGCCCTCACATCCGCTAACATAGTGAACAATGATATCTGCCCTCACACATGCTAACATGGTGAACAATGATATCTGCCCTCACACATGCTAACATGGTGAACAATGATATCTGCCCTCACACATGCTAACATGGTGAACAATGATATCTGCCCTCACACATGCTAACATGGTGAACAATGATATCTGTCCTCACACAAGCTTACATGGTGAACAGGGATATCTTTTCCTGGAATGCTCACAATGACAATTATCCAGGACACATTGACCATCGTTAGAAAATGACTAGATAAAATCTTCCTCCATGTAAATCACATAAAAAAGCTCTTATAAAACTTAATTGTTAAAAAAATGTTGGAAGAACATACGAAAGGCAACCTTAAAAGTAAACAATTCATGACCACAATGAAACAAATCTGAATCAATGAAAAAGGCTACAGTATACCCAAAACTGAGGGTATGTTAAAATGTATTCTTAAACTAGGTACACATTTCTGCTTAAGAAGAGTTCAAGCAAATAACCACTTCGTGTTTATGAAAATCACATTTCCTTTGTTCTGCATGTCAGAGTGAAATAGTACAATACTAGATCTCTGTAGACACTCAATGCCTTGATTACTAATTGTTGTCGAGTCCATGCTCCATTGGCACAAAATACTTTGTTTATACTTGAAAACCTCCATCAATAAAATAAAAACAGTCTAAAAGCACATAAAACAAAAAGGTACGATGGAAGAAGACTGAATCTGAAATCAAAGAACAATTTAACTTTTTCTCAGACATATACAATGCCCTAGTACATTTCACTCTAAACGGCAACAATTAATAAGAAAACACTGCAAACTTGACATGAATTGATTTGGCATACTTCTGCCACATGGCTTGTACTTTCTACTTCAGAATGAGATTCTGTCTTTGTTGCAGAGCATTGTGGGATACCTGGCCTCCATTTTAGCACCAAAACTGATCCACGTCCTTCATGGTCAGTGCACCCATCATATGTCACAGGCCAGGGCCATGTTTTTTATACATAGTTTGTAGAGCTCAGAACAGGGAAGCCCTTGCTAGGCTGTGTTAACCATGTTCATATGAAGTTTGTCTTTGAGCCAGAACAGGGAAGCCCTTGCTAGGCTTTGTTAACAACAGGAAGTTAATGTCTACAATTCAGAACTGTCCCTGCTGTCGCTGGTACTACTGGTCCTACTGGAGTGCCTGGACCGTCCATAGCATGGCTGGACATGTTGGTCATCCTCACTGGTCAACCGCCGTAACATGAGGGTCAGTGGGGAGAATTCTGGGTGGTCATCTTGGGCTGTGACAGAGGATGTGTGGGTCTTCTTCACAGAGGCTAGAAGTACAGCAAGATGACATTGGTTTGCTGGTTGTACAGCATTCAGTCTTGTATTTAAACAACACAGAATCATAATGTATATCATGGGTTATAATAATGACACACAAAAAAAACTTTTCCACTTAGTAGGTATTTTTACTAAAATTGCAGACTAATTGCAACACCCCTCACATCCTGGCACAGGATCTATGACACACTTACGTGTACTTCCATATGGGATATCTCCATGTGTTGAAGAGGCTGAACCTTTCCTCATAAAGGTGGGAATCTTGTTTTCATTCGGTGGTTTGATGGTCATTTTATTCTCACACACATGCTGCCATAATACTGAAACAAAACACAGTAAATCTGTTGGTGAAATTAGTAATTAACAATAATCATCTATATCAGCAAAAGGCAGGTGCTCTGAAATGATTGCCACATTATTAAGACAATGAAATGACACTATGGAGATGTGGCCACTTTGATCCCTGCATAGACAACCTACCTTGATCTTGGAGGTGCTGCTGTAACCCCTCCCACCCTGTTGATCCCTGCAAAGAGAACCTACCTTGATCTAGGAGGTGCTGCTGTAACCCCTCCCACCCTATTCATCCCTGCACAGAGAACCTACCTTGATCTAGGAGGTGCTGCTGTAACCCCTCCCACCCT